TAATTATAATAATAATTGCTTACACTTATATGGCACTTTTCTGGACACTCCACTCAAAGCGCTTTACAGGTAATGGGGACTCCCCTCCACCACCTGGATGATGCGACGGCAGCCATAGTGCGCCAGAACGCTCACCACACATCAGCTATTAGTGGGGAGGAGAACAGAGTAATGACACCAATTCTATTTTTGCCTTTTTATTACAATATTTTGCATCATCAGTTCTTGTTAATATTAAATCGCTGACCAGAAACTTCCAAAATAAATCTTCCCACCAAAAAGCCGTCCTACCTTCTGTTAAGGAATGTACTTTTCAGACTTGACATGGTAAAATTCAGAGAGAGATGGCTGAATCTACCCCAAGAGCCAGTCAAGTACCATCTCATTCCCTCCTGTTGTGACCTTCTAGGATGTGTGAGCTACTTGTTACCAGTTCACAAAAGAAGAAGACTGTTTACCTGATTTCATGTGACATTCAGGTTAAGATTGCAGCTATGTTAAATTAATGTTTAATAAATATTAAACACATTAATTAAAACTTAATGTTTATCAGTAACGTCTTATTACGTTTGATTCATTTTGTAAACTGTTGAATAAAACTTGACTTGGAATATTATATCATATTTAACTATTTCTTGATTGCTAACATATGTAGTACTACAGAGTTACTCTAAATAAAGCATGAGGCGGGCGGCACTGTGGCTCAGTGATTAACATTGCTCCCTCGGTTCAGTTCTGGGCCTGGGGTGATATTTTGTGTGTTTGTATGTTCTCCCCGTGTTTGTGTGGTTGTTCTTCAAATTCTCTGGTTTCCTCCCACAGTCCAAGGACGTACTGGTAGGTTAATTGCCTTCTGGAAAAGTGGTGTGAGAGTTTGTATGTCTTGTGTGTGCTATGTGATGGACTGGCATCCTGACCAGGGTGTATCCTGCCTTGTGCCAGTTGTGTGCTGGGATAGGCTCTGGCTCTCCTGTGATCCTGAATTGGAAGAAGTGGTTAAAAAATGGGTGGAAAAGCCACAGACATGACTATTCTTGGCATCTTTTTAATCTAGAAATTAACATTATCGAAGGAAAATAATCTCCTGCTTGTTTCTACCTGTTTTTACAGTGATAGACTCACTGCAATGAGTCCTGCTTTGCGTGAACTCTTTTCAGTGCTCCACAGCTTTAATGCTGTGGATGGAGAAGTTGAGCATTTGAGAAATTCTGTTGTCGATTTGCACACTATGGATGGCTAGGGTACATTCTTAATTAACTGTGAAGCCCAAACTAAACTTAGTCATTACTGCTCATATTTCCTGTTCTGTATAAAAAGGAAGAAAAATCCAAGACACTTGTTCCACCTGAATTGCTCTACTTGTGCAGATTTTAATGTAATATTATAGCTGTATTTTTATCCATTACTAAAACCTGTCATTTTCTAAATTTTTCTTAACTTAACCTTTGGCCAGATTGGGTTTCCAGGAATTCTTTAAATTGTAGTTTCACACATTTGTTCTTTTTTATAATACAGGTGTATTAATTTAAAGTCTCTTGTCAAATTTCCTAAAATACAGGGAGGTTTATAAACCAAAACAGATCTAAATAAACATTAGGCCTATTAAGGTTGTATACAGTGGTACAGATGTATTAGAATTTAAAAAAATACACATCGCTCTGATTGCTTTCTAGCTGTAGAAAAAAGTGTTGACACTTCTTTGTCTCATCACTATAGGAATATGCATCATCTCAAGCTTAAAACAACTTGGTTTTAAATAAACTGCACATGAAATATTTTAAACATCATTTCAGCATTATTGTTTTGAACTTGAACAGATTGCTTGTATTCGCTTTACAGAAACCTTTTCAAACTTGAATTGTTGATTTCCACACTAAATCCAGTTTGATCCTTTGTTTACTTCAGTACTGTGTTTTTTTTTAATTGAGACATTTTTGTTTTTTCTGTCATTTGTATTGTCTTGTCTATTGGTACTTTTTCCACCAGTACTCTTAATCAATTAAGCATTGAGGACATTGCAGTACTGACTCTGGTGCTAAAAGGCCTCTTCTTGTCTGTGGTTTGTCTGATCAATTAATGTGGTCCTTGTTTCTCAGTTCATGTGCAATTAGATGGGAGTGAAACACAAACGTGCTCATTAGTGTTGAGTACACTGTTATATACGCCAAGTCATTGAATATCCTGAGTGAGGAGATGAAACTTTGCAGCTTTGTTTTTGAGTTGAAACAGTAGTTTCAGGTATGAGCAAACTGTTTAAGGGCTTGATGAGCCACACTAGGTCCTTCAGGAACGGGCCTAGGAAATATTGCATGAAATACAATGCTTACAGTGAGTAAGGACTACTTGGTTTGTTAAACGACAAGCAAAATATTTTTACCTAACTGCTAGGAATTTGTTTGGTATTCTCACTTCGGAGTCTGGCTCCATTCTGTGTTTAAGGAGGTTAAAATTAGTCGACACTTCTGTAATGATGGTTATTGCTGTAAAGTTTTATAGTCTAAAAGATTGCTATCGAATCTAATTTTACTGTGATATTTGTATTTGGTTCAGGCTTAAATGTACATTTACCTTTTCTAATCTTGATCTTTGCTGTTGTTGGAGAACTGAGTAAATGATGAAAGAACCACCAGAGGAATTGATTCATGGCTTTCATATTATGTGGTCCATCAGTATTTTGTTTGCTTAGTCTTCAAAGCTGGTTTACAGCTGGTGCAGGACCTGCAGGATCTTTAAAAAGGAAGATTACCCTGTGTAAGTTAAATGATGGTCTATGCATCGATTGGGTCATGTAGTAGTCTGTAGTACAAACACATTGGAGATTTACTGTTTGAGCCTCTTAATTGTCAAGTTGGAGTTTTTGGAAGCATATCTGGATTTCTTTTCAGTTCAAGGGCCGGGTGAGCCAAACTTGGTTCTGCATGACTACATTATGTAGTAATGTAAAGTAGTTATTTTACGTTGTAGTACTTACCTTTACCACAAATTTATCAATAATTCCATTAAAGTAGTTGTACACCCTTTTTAACATTTAGGCCCACAGAAATCCCGATCATTGATCTTATACCCTATTTTTGTAAGCAGTCCTAAAAGATTAATTATGAGCCTTGTTTCTTATATGTACCACCTCTTTGGTGCTGTTATTAAAAGATTGTCTGCTACCCACGTAGCTATAGAATTCCCCATTGCAATAAGAGCTTATCTGCCATAATATGTAGATTAAGTGCAGTCTATATAGAATTGTTCAATTGTTAGTTGTGACATTTACACATGGTTGGGTGTTTTGATGATATTCAGTCTTTATTAAAATATTAAACATGCCTTTTACCTGCTTAATGTAAGTATGCAGGTGAAAATATCTGTTTGTT